TGAAGTCCCCAAATACTATTGTATATGAGTTTAAGTCTCCCTTTAAGTTCCTTAACATATCTTTTAAATAACCTGGTACCCTGTAATTAGGTGCATATATGTTTATAATAGTTACATCTTCCTGGTAAATTGATCCATTAATCCTTATATTGTGCCCCCTTTGTCTCTCTAAACAGTTTTTGGGTTAAAGTTTATTTAGCCTGATATTAAGATGGCTACACCAGCTCTTTTTTGGTTTCTGTTAGCATGGAATATCTTTTATCAACTTTCACTTTCAGTCTGCATGCATCTTTGTTGGAAAGATGTGTTTCTTGTTAGCAGCAAATAGATGGGTTTTGTTCCTTAATCTATTCGGCCAATCTGTATCTTTTAACTGGAGAGTTGGGGCCATTAACATTCAATGTGACTATTGATGAATAGTGACTCTGTCCTGCCATTTTTTCCAAAGATATTTCTAATATATGCTTTGAACTTCCTGTGATCTTTTACTGGGAGATTTTCTTCCTTTACCTTCTTTCATATTGATTGGTGTGTTTCTGTGTGTAACACATCTTTAAGCATCTTTTGCAGGGCTGGACGAGTGGCAACAAATTCTTTCAATTTCTGTTTGCTATGATTGGTCTTTATTTCACCTTCATTCACAAATGAGAGCTTTGCAGGATATAATATTCTGGGCTGGCAGTTTTTTTCTCTTAGTACTTGGACTATATCTTGCCATTCGCTCTTAGGCTGTAGGGTTTGATGAGAAGTCTGCTGTGAGTTTGATTGATCGGAGATCCTCTGAGAGTAATCTGACGTTTCTCTCTTGCACATTTTAGAATCTTTTCTTTATGTTTCACTGTGGTGAGTTTGATTACTATGTGTCATGGTGAGGATCTCTTTTGGTCATGTTTATTGGGGGTTCTATGTGCTTCCTGTTCTTGGATGTCTCTGTCCTCCAATCCCGGAAAGTTCTCTGCTAGTATCTCACTAAAAAGGCCTTCTAATCCTTTCTCTCCATGCCTTCAGGAACTGCTAGAACCCGAATGTTGGTTTTTTTAATAGTATCCTGTAGATTCCCAACAATATTTTTTAGATTTCTAATTTCCTCTTCTTTTCTTTGGTTTGACTGTATTCTTTCCTGTGCTCTGTCTTCTAAGTCTGATATTCTCTCTTCTACCTCACTGATTCTACTTTTAAAACTCTTACATGTGTTCTTCATTTGTTCTATTGAATTCTTCATTTCATTTTGGTTTCTCTTCAATATCTCAATTTCATGCTCTACTAAATTCCTCATTTCATTTTGATTCCTCCTTAAGATTTCATTTTCATGAGAGAGATTTTCTGTCCTGTCCAGTATGGATTTCTGTAGTTCATGCATTTGTTTTTGATAACTTCTAAATGTTCTTATCATACGTTTTTTGAATTCTGTATCTTGCATTTTTTATATCTCATTATCTTCATAATCTTGTATTGGAGTGTCATGTTTATTTGCGAGCATCATGGTTTCTTCCTTGTTCTTGTTTCCTCAGTTTTTGCATTTGTTGTTTGGCTTTGTGGAGATATTCTTTGGTTTCTTCTTCTTCTTTTTCTTTTTTTCTCGCTGTGGTGGCTTTTCTTGTTATACCATGACTCTAGATTAAGTGGACTGTCTGCTTTAAGTGAATCTCTAGAGGCTTGTGATGGGTGTGGCCAGAGAGCTCTGTTTAGTTCTTTAGTGTTAAGGGTGTGTCAAAAGTGACATACCCAGGTTTGGCATGGTAAATCTCCCCCCCCCCTTTTTTTTTTAATTCAGAAAGGAAGTAATTCTGCTCAGCTGAGCTCTTCTCCTTGATGGCACTCAGTGCCTGAGCACTAGCCCCAGAGGGTATAATATTTGTCTCCTTTGTCCCAAGGACCACACTAAGGCTCTGTGCAGTCCTCAGTGTAAGCTCAGATTCCCTTGCAATGTCTCTCACTGGTTTGCCAAGGTTATCGAGTTTGTGGTGCTTCCCACTGAGACTACTCACATCTCAGCCACACTGTGAGTTCTCCCACACACCCTTAATTTTTTTTTTCTTTATCACAGTCTCGGTTCATAAGCTCCACACATTCACTAGGTCTCAGTCTCCTGTTATTACTCCCAACCAGAGTCTAGTTTTTCTGTTTGGCTGAGGGCGGGCCCAGCCCCGAGCTAGTGCAGTTGTTATGTATGTCCAAAATGGTGCCTGCTCTATTGTCACACACACCTTTATAAGGTGTGTGGATAAAGAGAATCGTGTCCGTACTGTCCCTTTTGTTTTTTTTCTCTCCTCTAGTTAGGCTGGTGTACTTTCCTCCATGGGGCTTCAAGCCTTGTTCCCTCTAGGCTCTCCTGCCACTTTTCAGCCAGTGTCTCAGGCTACTGCGGTTTCACCTCACCTCTTTTTCCAGCACAACGGAGGAGGAGAAGATTCTCAGCAGCTGGGGTCCCACGCCGTGGGTGCCCGTGTCCTCCACGTAGATCCACCATGTCCCTCTAATTTTGGAAGAGTTCCCTCTGCAGTTTTTTCCCTAACTCTCCCCTGAGACTTCACTATCTCCACTTTTATTAAGCTATCTTTTCCTGGACTATCAGTGAGCTCCCTCCCTGTTCCACCATCTTAGAGCCACCAAACCTCAAATAACTTAACATAACTTAGAGTTTTGTTATATCTTACTGACTTTGTTTTATCAATAAGATTTTTTCTATTACATTCCATAATTACATTCAGTATCATAAACATGTGTAATTCCTGTCTTCTGCATTTTCTGGTTAAGCCTGGAATGTTTTTAATCACAACAATGAGGCTACACTGTGCCTGTGCACTAACAGCTATATACACACTTTTAGGGTTGGGCAAAAGAAGCCTCATACTCATACAGACCAATGCCAATGTAAACTCAAGCCATAAGGCTTATATGAATTATATAGTTTTTCTTTAGCTTGGTGCTATCTCTATTCATTAATCTACCACTGTATAGTTTATTGACCCTTTTAATTCACAAATCCCACTCATTCTTAGCTGATGGCTTTACATCACAGTTTCTTAAGTAAAAAAAGTGGTGATCAGAGTAACTAAAGCATCTGTATTATTTCTCCTATGATGTCTTCTTTCTCCTCTGTCTCACATCAACTGTTTTCTCATGTTTTCTGGAAAGGAGTCAACAATAAACCTGCGGATGTGCTGTGGGAGCTCCTATTTTTAAAGTGAAGACAAACAAACAAATATTATGCAATCTCCATTCTTCACATAACCACCCTATTTAATTTATACTTTTTATATTAAAACTTCTTGGAGATTTTCTGTGTTTATTAAATCAATTTACTCAGCTCATTTTCCTTTTCAAACAATTGGCAGTGGTATTTGCTTTCATAGAGATTGTTCTTTGCAAGCTCACCAGTGATCTTGCTATTGCTCTTTCTTGGCTACTCAGTTCTCAGTTATTCTCAAGCACTCAGTATTAAATCATATTCTGGGAGAAATATATTCTTCCTCAGTTTCTATTACATCATGCTCTTCATTTTCCTTTCATCATCTTCATAATCTTGTATTGGAGTGTCATGTTTATTTGCGAGCATCATGGTTTCTTCCTTGTTCTTGTTTCCTCAGTTTTTGCATTTGAGTATTCTTTCTTAAGTCTCTCTTGACTTCCAATTTGCTGTTGTCTGTCCCTATGAAAAACTTCAACACTAGAGTGATGCACTACTAAGCCAAGGCACCGTGTCAGTCCAAGTAGAATGTTTTTGACCCAGTTTAAGCAGAAAAGGATATGTTATATACAGGAAATTGAATACCTTTAAATTTTTAAAAAATGTGCTAAATAAATTATTTTCTATCTGAGCTTCCAGAAATGACTCCCACTGGAAAACTGACTATGCTCAACTCATTCTTTTCAATGTGTTTATACTAATTGTTTCCTCTCCACAAAGTGTTTATTCTCTTATAATTTGTACTATCTCTTTTTTTAGTTCTTAACATTCAAGTCAAGACTTACATATGACTGTCTACTGTATACGTGTTTTCTCAGCTTCTGAAATGGAGAATGACAAAGAGCAGACTCAAAAATATCGAATTAATTCATAAACTACCTATAATGATGAGAACATTGATGCTCAAAGGAATAAAGTTATTCAGGATATCAGAACTAACAAATTGCACATCTGGAATACAATTCCAGGTCTCTGTGACCCTGATGCATGCTCTACTTTTCCAGATAAATATTCCTGACTTAGTGCTATGCCTGCATTTTTCTTCCATCAAAACCATTTTGCTAAGTAAATTAAAAAATACTGGGGCCGGTGCTGTGGTATAGTAGGCTATTCTTCCACCTGCGGTGCTGGCATCCCATAATGGCATTGATTCATGTCTCAGCTGCTCCTTTTCTGATCCAGATCCATGCTAATGGTCTCGGAAGATAGTGGAAGATGACCCAAGTGCTTGGGCCCCTGCACACACGTGGGAGACCCAGAAGCAGCTCTTGGCTCCTGGTTTCAAGTCACCGTAGCTCCAGCCATTGTAACCATTTAGGGAGTGAATCAGCTGATGGAAGACCTTTCTGTCTACCTCTCTCTCTCTCTGTGTGCAGCTCTATCTCTCAAATGAATAAATAAAATCTTAAAATAATTATTTGATTTCACTATGTTGTAAAACTTTGCTAGCTTTCCATTGCCTAAAAGTTAAAGTGAAATCTACTCTTTCTAGCATCAAAGGTTCCCATTTTACTGACTTTGTTTCATCAATGAGATATTTTTCTATTACTGTAAAAATCTACATCTGTTATGGTCAAAATCTGACCTCTTGCTTGCTGTATTTAACCCTACTCTTCTGTAACTCCCATCTTTAGAACTCTGTTTCTACACCCTGAATTGTGGGATTTTGCACCCACCAGTGGGATATTCTTTCATTAATTAGATATTCATTGAGGCCCAGCTCTGTGCCTGACATTGCTTGGATTCAGAGCCATCCTTGGAGCCAAGGCATTAGCAAAAGCTGTCTTCTAGAACATTGCAGGACACATACCTCTTCGGGATGCACAATAACCTTGAAAGCAGCCCCTGCAGAACCTCCACTCTTCCAACTTTTCATGTCATAAATCTGAGTTCCCCTTTGGCCTTGATTCTGAAGTTCCCAGGAAATCAATAGCTAACGATACAAACCATGATACAAAGTTAATACGAACCAGCAGTCATTCTCCTCTTTTCTACCAATGCTTGTCGTTAGTGAGTTAAAAAGAAGAAAAGTAAAGAAAACTTCTAAGTGCCCTCAAACTTCCTCTGTAGAAATCCACTGCCATGCTGAGGCAAACTTGAAGACGTATATGCTTTTAATGTAGTCCCATTAAAAACTTATATACTGTGTTGGGTAGCTTTTATGTATTTCTTTTCACATCATTGCTGATTTCCCAAGGTACTTGCGTTCAACAGAAGCTCTCCCTTTTCCTATCAGCTTACTCTTCCTGCCAAATGCATTCATTGAATTACAAGGCAAAGATTTAGATAAATTATTAACACTGAAGCAAAAGGATGCCTCCAAAACAACACTGTAATTTTGAATCATAGAGGAGGAGCTCACTTTTTTAAAAAGAGAAAGTTTATTTCCATTATAATTGAGGAAATTATGTTTACTAGTACAGAACAAAGAAGAAGAGAGAAAGGAAACACAGCTACTTTTATATACTTTTTTTTGGAAATACTATTGGAGATTGTCTTCTGAGTTATTGCAATGATGGTCTGAAATATGGTTGATAATGAGGAGAAAGAAGAGCACAGGTTTGGGATATGGTCAGGAGGCGGAATCAGCAGGGCTTACTTTCCAGTTCTCAGAATCCCTTTGTGTTCTCTTAGGAGTTTCAACTTTTATTAATCATAGCTAAAATACCAGGTATCCTGTTTCCTGGTTCTCCAATCACTTCTTACTCTGATAAACTTTTTCATTTTTCTTAAACTTTATAGGATTTATTTTTTCTTACTCATTAAGTGAAATAAGCAATACCTATACTATATGAGTAATCGCAAAGACTAAATGAACATTGTAACAGTTTTATCCATTTCCTTCCCACTCTGAAATTGAGCACAATCTTCTTTGGCAATAGGCTCTTGTTCCTGAAATCCTGTTTCTGTACCTTTTTACTATATTTTTTTAGACTATGTAATTTCCTGGTCCCTAATATTTCTTTATATTGTTTTCTGATGCCCTTCTCCTACATAAATATTCTCTCATTGTTTTTGAATATGTTTCCTAGATAGTCTGCTTGCGTTTTGGAGCTTCATTCATTCATTCATTCATTCCATCAACAAGTACTTAATATTGAGATGTTCTATGCCAGGGAATAGATTAGGCACTGGGGATAATATGATAACTGCAACTCCAACACTGTAAGAAATTTTATTAATGACTACAGGTCAGCACCAGATATTGCAAAGTTCACAACAGAGACTTGAAATAGAAGGTGAAACAACTTGGGAAGGATTTTTATGGCAGAAGTTTCTATTGGTCACACTTTGGGCTGCTTCCAGAGCACATCAAGGAAAGAACAATGGCACAGCAATATATTTTAAAGGATTCCAGGAAGTGCAAAGGAAAAGTGAGGCCAGTATGGCATGGATGGGAGAAATTAAACAATGGGTGCCTTGATGGGTAGACTGTGGATGGCTGTCTTGTTGGCTACACTCTAAGGAATCTTGTAGAAAGCATCATGGAATTTTATTACAAAAATATAGAAAATTTGAAGGTATTATCTACTGACTGCTGTCTGTCTGGTTGAGAAAGGTCTTTGGGGATTTTGGATCTTCAGCAGTTCCAAGATGCCCTGGACTAAAGCTGAGAAAACTTCCTTAGAGGCAAGGAAACAGAAGGAGGCAGGTGCCTGTGATGCAGCCTATCCAGTTGCATGCAAATCACCTCCAGAGTCTGCAGGCACACCTGGAATGAGTGGAGAGGGCATGTGGTGAGGCTCCCCACACAGTCTGTTGCATACCTCTTGCTTTTCAAAGTTCACTACTTTGCTTGACATTCCCTAGTTTATATTCTTGCACACCTGATTACTACTCCACTAGCACATGAATTACAAGACCTGAAAAAACAGCTAATGTGTTCTACAAAAGTAAAGATTTTGTAATTTATTTTACCCTGGATTTCTCACTTATGGTCATCTTAGTAGTAGGTAGGAATGATTTCCCCAGCAGGGTTGCGATTTACTTGCTTTACATAGGCTGGTCTGACAGACAACTTCCCATTGGACCCTCTTGTCCTGACAGAATACCTTGTGGGATTTTGTCTTCAGCAACAGATAACATATAGAATAATTTTCTGTAGCCATTGACTCTGATAGAATTTCTCTATAGCCTTTTAAAGGCCTTTGATGATTTGTGACACTTTTTCTAAAGTGAAAAAGATGCTGATATAGTTTGAAACTGTTTCATTTGTATCAAATGAATCCTTCTTTCTTCTTACTTTGGGTATCAATAAAGTGGTGTTTTTGTGATGGTAGTGGGCTTGGCTCCCAGGCTACCTCTCCCCTACATTCTTCTCACTACCAGCAAATTCATCTGTTAGAATCCAAGTACAAATGTAGCATTAGTCCTTTCTTCAAATACTTTTTGTGTCAAGTTCAGACTTTGACATTAAAGTAAAAATCCTAATGATCTGATCCTACACTCCATTCCTTAATACCTCTCTTACTCAGCTTATGTTGCTCTCACCTTTTGTAATACATACTCACTTTCCTTGTTGCCACTCCTTATGTGAGACATGAGTAGATGGCACTTGACTTCTCCAGCCTATGTCATTGCAGAAGATGATGATATATAACATCTTCCACCACGTGATGACAACACAAAGAGAAAACAACAGGAAGAATTAAAGCAGCATGAAATCCTATTTCCTATTTCCAAATTTGCTTCTGTGTAATCTCATGGTAAAATGAATTCAACTAAAAATGTAGGTTGTTTTAAATTGTATTTTCTGACATAACATATGATCAAATATCAGGAATTTAGGAAGATGGCAATTATTCATCATTACTGCACTGAATATTACACAAAAAGATGCAAAAATAGGAGAGCTAAACAAAAGTCCTACAGCGACCATTTATAACAAAATGAATGATATTCTCCATGACCTTCAAAAGATAAACTAGTGGAAAAAATTCAAATAGCAGCAAGATTCATATAATATCAATCCTGAAGCAAAGACAGAGACCCTACAGGCACTTCAATGTGTAAATCTGAAGTTAGAAGCTGAAACAGGGTGGGGTTTTTTCAGGTTCCAATTTATAAGTCAGTGCAGGAGGATCATGGTATCTTGGTCAAGGCAAGAGTGGCCAATGCCCTAAGCAGTACTGTAACTAACTAAAAGGCAAAGTCTCACACTGAGGACAAATCTGTGGGAATAAAAACTTATCAGGACTAGGACTTTGTAGAGAAAAAAAGACGATCCATATACAAACCGGAAAGGGAACTATAACTAGAGGATCTTAGCAGACTACATTCGATTGCTTCATAGATAGAAGAGGGAGTTCCAGAGCTATGGAACCAAGAAAGCTATTCTAGCCCAGTCTTGTCTAATCAGAGAAGAAAATTCATCTAACTTAACATCAGAATAGAAGACCTTAAATAATCCCAAAGTTAACACAGCAGATGGAGTAGGGGTGAGTGTTGTGGCTCAGCTGGTTAGCTGGCTGCTTGGAATGCTTGGATCCCATATCAGAGTGCCAGGGTTTGAGTCCCAGCCCTCATTCTGATCCAAATTCCTGATAATGTGTACCCTGGGAGGCAATAAATGATGGCTCATGTACCTGAGTCCTTGATTCCCAGTTGAATAAAGTTCATGCTCCTGGCTTAGACTTGGCCCATCCCTGGCTGTCGTGGGCATTTTGAGAATGTACCAGCAGGTGTAATATTCTCTCTCTCTCTCTCTCTCTCTCTCTCTCTCTCTCTCTTTCTCTCTCTCCCTCTCTCTGTCTCTCTCTCTCTCTCTGGCTCTGCATCTCACATAAAATAAAAAGAAGTGAGTCTTAAAAATAAAGATGGATTAGAAAGACATGGCACAAAACAGTTGAAATTGCTAGCTTAAACTTTGAATATGGTATAAAGCAAACTGAGAAAATGATATATGCAGGATCTAGGATCTTTGGATTAAAAAGAAAAAGTTACAGTTAGAAAAAAATAAGAAATAACTGTGGTACAATTTTAAAGGAATCTGTCAAACAAAATTTAGATATAAAAAGAAAAATGTCACTTCAGAGATGGACATGAAACTAAGGAACTAAAAAGTAAATAAATCCTATAGAAAATGCCTTAAGAAGCCGGCGCCGCGGCTCACTAGGCTAATCCTCCGCCTTGCGGTGCCGGCACACCGGGTTCTAGTCCCGGTCGGGGCGCCGGATTCTGTCCCGGTTGCCCCTCTTCCAGGCCAGCTCTCTGCTGTGGCCAGGGAGTGCAGTGGAGGATGGCCCAAGTACTTGGGCCCTGCACCCCATGAGAGACCAGGAGAAGTACCTGGCTCCTGCCATTGGATCAGCGCGGTGCGCCGGCCGCGGCGGCCATTGGAGGGTGAACCAATGGCAAAGGAAGACCTTTCTCTCTGTCTCTCTCTCTCACTGTCCACTCTGCCTGTCAAAAAAAAAAAAAAATGCCTTAAGAAAACTGATGACTGGAGGAAAAAAGCTTAAAAATAAAAAGGGAGAAATACAAAGAGTGCAAAGCAATGTGGAAATGGAAAATATAGACCAAGAAGACCCTCTATGCATAAAAAGAAGCAACTGAAGAAGACTAATCAAAGCAAAGAAAAATAATAAGCACTAGAAATATGTCAAGAAATATTTCCTGAAATAAAAAGACCAGAAGCCAGCAACTGAAATAGGCTACTGCATCTCCAAGAAAACTGGCCCAGAATGGTCAACGTTGATTCATATTATGCCAAAACTATTGGCCTTTAAAGAAAAATAACATACATTCTTGTTGGAGCATCCAGTAAAAAGGACCAAGTAACCTGAAAGGGAAAGAGAATCAGAATTTTAGCTTTTATGCCAGAAAGCAAAGAAGGTAATATATTTAAGGTACTGAAGAGAAAAGGTAGATATAAAGTGATTTTTATGTTATAAAAGCCAAAAACAAATAATTATGAAATTGCAAAATCCAGAAACTATTGCTGCCATCACACCCTCCAAAATGTATAATAGGAAATAAACTTCAATGAACCAAAATGTCTTCTAGGAAATAAGCCTCAAGGAATCCCAATTGTTGGAAGACATCTGTACATTGTAGGAAGGTAAACATTTAATATTTAGTTGTGGAGTGTTGACTAAACAATGGTTATAAGAAAAATCGTGCAGTAGCTGGTGCTGTGGCACAGCAGGTAAAGCTGCCGCCTGCAGGGCCAGCATCCCATATGGGCGCTGGTTCGAGCCCTGACTGCTCCATTTCCCAGCCAGCTCTCTGCTATGGCCTGAGAAAGCAGTGGAAGATGCACTTGCGTAGGAGGCCCAGAAGAAGCTCCTGGTTCCTGGCTTGGGATCAGCACAACTCCAGCTATTGTGGCCATCTGGGGAGTGAAAGAACAGATGGAAGACCTCTTTCTCTCTCTCTCTTTCTCTGCCTCTGTTTCTCTGTAACTCTGCCTTTCAAATAAACAAATAAATCTTAAAAAAAAAAAATCATGCAGCGTGCAGTGGTTATATGTTCTCTGACAACCACCAAAATGTGGGAGAGGTTGGGAGATAGTATCATCATTGGAAAAAGGAGAATAGGTGCACTAATAATCATACAATTATTTTTAAAGATTTATTTTATTTATTTGAAAGAGAGTTACAGAGAGAGGTAGAGACACAGAGAGAGATGTTTTCCATCCACTGGTTTACTCCCTAAATGGCTGCAGCAGCCGGAGCTGAACTGATCCGAAGCCAGGAGCCAGGAACTTCTTCCAGATCTGGAGCAGAAGTGGAGCAGCCAGGACTGGAACCAGCCCCCATATGGTATGCTGGCACTGCAGGCCAGGGCTTTAACCCACGGAGCAATAGCATCAGCCTCTCACCATATAATTATTAACAGGGAATAAAGTGATATTAATTAAAAATATATGTTGGGGGAAAGATATGGCAGGGAAGAAGAGAGTTTCTGTATTATTTTTGTGATTGTTCATAAAAGGGAACCAACAAATACAACTCTTGTGGGAAAAGAGAATTAAGAATATTATGCTGTAGAACATTGAACTTTAGAACAAAAATATAGTCCTTTTAAAAATAGTCAAATGAATACAATCCCACTTCTCAAACTCATTGCAAAGATATACTGCCAGTATTGAAAAATAACAATATCTGCACAAGGCCATTTATTGTTGTACTATTTGTATTAGCAGAGGGCAAGCAAACTAGATTACCACCAATAAGAAACTACAGAATAACAATGATACACTAACACAAGGAAACACTAAGCAGCTATGAAAGGGGGTAAATATGAGTTCCATACTTCTATAGAATAATCAGAATATATTACAGAGTGAGTTCATTTGTTTAAATTTTAGTATTTCCAGGAGTTGTTACAGTTTTGGAGACAAAATTGAATAATTGATATTGAGTTTATACTGAATTTCTTATACAAGAGCCAATTTTGTATACTTAATATATTATGGTTTTTAATAAGAATGCTGGATTCGAGTAACTCACCCACTGTTTAGCAAGTTAAATGTTTAGAAAAACATATAAACATTTCCAGACCACTAAATTTTCAGGTTGATTTTTGGAAAAAAAAAACAATTAAAATAAAGCATATTTTGTCTTGGTACTTTAGCACTCTCTTCTTTAGGATTATTTCTACCTTCCCAAACATCCATGTCAGACAGTGGTTCACCCCTATTCTCATTTAGTATACTGACTCAATAGCATCCTGACTGCATTGCATCTCCTGATTTGAATGTGTTGAGTATGAGGAGCAGAAGAGGCAGCTACACACTTTCTGATATCCATTACTCATTGCTAAGACAATAATAGAATTTATGGCTGGCAGATGACAACCCGCCTAAAGATTACATATTTTTTTTTCTGCCCTTGAAGCTAAGTGTGCCATGTGACCAAGTTTTGCCTCCTAGAATCTGAATGAATTTGATAGGTGCCATATCTGGACAGTGTGCTCCAAGAAGTAACATGAGCTCTCCCAATGACCACTTCCATGGGCCAGAATGTGGGTGCATGGACAGGAGCTGGAACATCTATAATGATCAGTAAAACACTGCTTCTTCACTGAGGATGGAAGACGAGTGAGATGGAAGGAAATGAACCTCCTTTGATTGTGGTGTCTTCTACTCTGGATAACCACGCCATGCTTTCATGAGACAATAAACCAACTTCATCTTTAAACCACCATTATTCTACTCTCACTCTTACAGCACTACAACCCATATCTTAAATACCTTGAAGAAATTATTTAGATTCAGTGAACAATGAAGTCAGTGTATTTGTACAAAATTAGCATTCCTCACAATGGCACAGATATTTCAGAAGGAATACTGTATGTTTAAATACTAAAAAAGGGCTGAAGGTTAAAATAATTTTGTAGTTTGAAAATTGACTCTAGTAGGAAATCCTTATCCCTATAATCCCATTTTTTTTTCCCTCATGCCTCTTATCTTCCATGGTTAGTTTTCAAAATTTTAAGTGCTTGAAAGTTCAGCTAAAAAAAGTATTGGTTGAAACAATTTGCTGACAGCAGTTTTAATATCAATTGTATAATGATATTGCCAATTGGCAGAAGAGTGAAATGAAATCCAGGGTAAACCTTGGCTTAAAAATAATTGTTTAAAATGTTGAAGTTCACAGATTAGGTTGATAACCTGAGATTTTAGTCATACTTAAAAATTGGAAATGGCAGTTGCTCTATGAGAGGAAAATGCTTGTGTAATTTTCAGACTGTGAGAAAGCAATTCTTTTCTTTGGTTAGAAAAATTATACTTGGTAGCTTTTCATCCTTGTTTTTCAAGCTAATTGCTTCCAGGTTGTTTCAACAAGCTATTTAACTTTGAAGGTAGCAGGCCTCAACATAGTTTAATATTTAGAAAGAGTCAAACTCCTACAACTCTTAAACTCTGAGGAATGTCTATCCAATGTAAGTTAAAGATATGGATGAATCAAAACTCTCCTATTGTGAGGCAACATTTCTTGAAGTAAACTTCAAAGACCATAAGATCCAGCCTCTCTAGGGCTCTGTTCTAGGAAGATAAACATTCAAGGAGCTCCCCAGGAGAGACTATTGCACACAGAAAACAAGATTACTTATTTGTTGTGTAAATAAATGTACAACAGCAAGTGTGTAGTTTTCACATTCACTCTAATAATAGTGTTATTGATTACCACTTATCAAATATCTTTGTGTGTGTCAGCTATTTAATCCTCACAACATTTCCAAAAGGCAGGTAGCAATTTAATACTTTAAACATTTGGAACTTGAGGGGTAAATAGAAGAGTCTGACTTTGCTTCCATGTTGATTCTAGTTATGATATATTAAATAGACACTTGAAATTGCTCATGTTTCTTTTTAATGGTAATGAAGCTGGTAGAATGATCAGATACAATTGTTCTGGTATCCTTGAAGGCTTAATTTCATAACTCCTCTGGATCCCAAAATCCATGCCTGGTGAAATCCTTTATATAAAATGGTGCAGCACTTGCATACAAGCTGTGCTCATCTTCCAGTACACTTTATCTATAGCTCACTGATAATATTAATACAATGTGAATACCATATAAATAGTAACTATACTATATTGGTTAAGAAATAATGACAAGAAAAAAGTCTGTACATGTTCAACGGATCACCTGTTTTTTCTAAATATTTGTGGTTTGCAGTTGATTGAATTTGTTGATTTGTTGATGTGCAACCAACATTAACTCAGAGCTGACTGTATTTTAAATGTTACTAAGGAGGATAAAAAAGTATAAAACATAATACCTCTCCTCCATCGAAATTTAGATAGAGAGTGAAAATATGTAGGCACAAAAGTAGAATAACAACATAGGACAGCCTAGAGGAAGACCTGTTCCATAACACTGGCCTAGAAGGATGGCCAGGATGGTTTTATGCGAAGAGTAAGTGGGAAGACATTCCAGGCACTTAATTTTTAAGACAGTCAGTTAAATTTTGCAATCTTGCTCTAAGTCTTTTATATTTAAATCATGAACTCATTTGTCATACTATCTTTAAGAGGTCTCCAATTTGAATTGTAAAGTCATATACAAGGCTATGAATAAATCTGTCCATTAGAAAGTACACTATCTTATTTGCTTGACATGTTAACATATTTTGTAGGTAAGTGAGAGATCAGTGAGTCTTCACTTTTCATAGGTGAAGAAACTGAGGTTGAAAAGGTAAAGTAACTGTGGAAGGTCATTCAATCTGTCCATCATAGTTCACTAAAACAATACTCATTATTATCAGCACTGGAATAGGTTTTCAACTTCTGTCCATTGCACTTTAACAAGAAGAATCTTAAGGGATATGTATTTTAAAAGAAAATTCATTTCTAAAGTCTTCTAGGAACACTCAGAGGAAATGTGTTATATTTCTATATCACTTCAGATTATATATTGCTTTGCTGCCTCTAGTTTGGAGTAGCATGGGATTTGTACTGATGACCAAGGAGGGAGCAGAGATGTCACATCACTGTGCATACAGTGCATTTCCATAGCATCTTTATACTGAAGAATTCAATATGGTTTGCAAACATGATTTAATTAAGTTTCATAGCAGGGGAATCTAAAATGGAAGAAAGCAAGAAGGATGGCGAAAGGAAGCATGTGATGCTAGGAAAATGAAAGGCATGTGAGCATGGCCTGGATATCACTGTCATTTGTAGATCTCAGCGTTGAGTCAGCTCCCTTTTACCTTTTTTTGAAATTTTCTTAGAATTTACAGTTTTATTATTTTTTATTTATTTATTTATTTTTTTTGATAGGCAGAGTGGACAGTGAGAGAGAGAGAGACAGAGAGAAAGGTCTTCC